CCCCAAAACCCCAAAACCCCAAAACCCCTCAAACTCAAATCTATAGTTAAATCTGGTTACAAATTATAAATTAATTGTCACTATATATTTCTCACATATCATCTACAGGTCCAAACAGGAATAGCCTAGCTTTTACAGGTTTTAACTCAGTCTAATTATTATTTACCTTTTCCTCCTCACTACTATCACCATCTGACATTTGATTGGCTGCAAATTTTACCTGTTTGCTCTTATTCTTGTTATTTTGAGGTACATTGTCATTTTTATTGTTATTTTCCATCATAAGTAACTTATCAGAGTCTTTCATCTTGACTATCTTATCCTCTTTGGGTTCTATCTAGCCTTTGTATTTCATCATGTTCTTAGCTTTCTATTGCTGTACTTTATCTTGCTTCTTTTAAGCTGCACCATCATTTGATTAGAATTGAGGTTCTTATCCTATCTGCTTTATTTTGTCTTCAAGAACTTTGATCTTGTTATCTCTTTGCATCACTAGGTTTTTCTCTCTATTTTTAAGTCCCTCTTCTTCCTAAAGTTTCCTCTCTACCTGATTTAAATCTTATTTCATTTTCTTTATCTCATCTTCCTTCTTTCTAGCTATATCCTAGTACTGTCTTCTTGACTCCTCTTCCTTCTTTAATCTTTTGCGCATTTAAATCATATCTTGAATTAACTCCTAGATCTTTTTAGTTTTATCATCCAAGCCATCATCCTCAATATTGCTTGGCTGATTCACATTTTATCTGTTTTAGTTCTCTATATTATCTTCACCCGATCCAAAACAATCTTCAAAATCATCCTTAGCCTAAACTGGTTTCTTTTAACCTGACTTGCTTATTTAACTAATATCCATTTAAGATGCATTAGCCATTCCTCCTTGATTTTTCATAAGTATTTCTATTTGATTTTTCTATTGATAGAGTTGATTCTATAAGTTCATATGCTCCTCTTCATATTCACCCAGCTAGTCCTCTAGCTCGCGTATTTTATTTTAGTTTTAGATTGCCTCATTTTCTCTAGCTCTTTATTCCTGCTGATACAATTTTTGATAAGATTCGCTGTTCTTACTGAGCATATCTATTTGTTAAACAAGCTTTTGATTTTCGAAGTTCATTTGCTATACTCTAGTAGAATTTTCTTGATGCTTTTACTCTAAATCCTCATGCTTCTATCTTAAAGAAGTCAGATCAAAGACTGTCTAGTTATAGAGATCTAAGTACTTCTACTTTTCCTTTTTGGCCAAGTCGCATTCAAACTAAGCCTTCTCTTTCAAAAGTTCTGCTCTGTCATGAGCTTGGGCTGCTTCTTAGTATTTTTACTCTAATATTTATACTAGTGATTTTTCAACCTTCGAATCAATATCTGAGAGAAGACTTTTAGCCACAGGAGTGGATTATTGCTTGTTGAATTATTGCTAAGAAGCTCTTTTGTTGCTGATAGGTGGGAGGTTTTCATTTTGTTAAGAATAATTTGATACATTTGGTTTGTTCCCTCCATGAACCCACAAGCCCATCCCATTATTCTATGATGATAACTACCTTTCAAAGCCATTATTAGTAGTTATTCTTTCCTTTGAGGAAACTTGATTAATTTATTATTTTACATTTTCATCTTTAACTTAAATCATCCCCTTTGAATTGGATTACTAAGAAATAAGTGCTTTACTCGAACTAGCTGATCTAATTCTGTTAGTCAAAGGCTTTTACTACTTCCTTCCTACTTCATCTTTAGGGGGAATAGGTGCATCACTATTTTTGTTAGCATTATTACTCTCTGGTTTATTATTGTTTAAATTGACTTGGGGATTAAAGTTTTGAACTGATGAATTTTATTGCTATTTGCCTACACCTACTTGTTATACAGTCTCTTTTCCAAGATGAGCTGTGATGTCACCGTTTAATATGTTAGCCTTGTACTAGAGTTGCTGCTAATGCTTTTAAACATAACCAGCAACGATTGGTTTAGTCTCTTGAACCACTGAATTTTTCATATTTTTATAATGAAACAGAATTTAATTTTAAAACTTGCATTTAGCTGAATAATGTAAAACCTTCAGATATGGGGTTTTGGGGTTTTGGGGTTTTGGGGTTTTGGGG